TTAAAACAACAATTAATAATTAGTTCGTCATATTATCTCATGAACTGCAATGTCCAACCTACAATATAGAACACTTAACTTAAGGACATTTTTTTTTTTTTAGGGAAAGCTGAAATTGTGGTGCATATAATTCATAACTCATAAATTACTAGCTCTATATAAATGATAATAATTTGTAGAACAAATAACTGTTATGTTCACTCCTATATTTTTTCATATTTCATCATGCTTTATATTTGATACATTTTGCTATTTAAATTCATCTCCTCATTCAAATCTTTGTTTCTAGAAAAGAGCAGTTCAAGCTGAGGCCAATGTGAGTGTGTTGAAAAAAGAAAATAAGAAACTACAGGTAGTTTTTTGTTCAATTTTCATAATCAAAATGTTTTTGCCTGCCTTTTGTTGTCTTCAACTATACATTGAACTGTGTGATCCCTGGCACAGTTTCAGCAACCTGTAAGCAGATTTTATTTTCTTCTTTGGTTGTTTAAAATGTGCAAATCTTCTTTTTCAGTCCCAACTCCACTCTCTCCTTCAGATGAAAGAGTCATTTAAAGGTGAGGACAAAGGTTTAGCTGATATCAAAGAAAGAACCAAATATACCTCAGAACAGTTATTGTCTGCTTCAGTTATGGCAGAGAAAAATATCAAGTGAGTTTTTTTCTTCTAGTGTTTGGTGATTGGTCTTTGTTTTTGTGAGTTGCTTTCTTCCAAGCCTGTATTGGCTTATGTTGACAGTAAGACCATTTCAAACAATTATTTTGGGTTATTCCGTATGTCACAGTGGGTTACCAGCTGTTTTGACAGTAAGACCATTTCAAACAATTATTTGGGTTATTCCGTATGTCTCAGTGGGTTACCAGCTGTTTTGACAGTAAGACCATTTCAAACAATTATTTGGGTTGTTCTGTATGTCACAGTGGGTTACCAGCTGTTTCCAACCATAAAGATTGTATTCTAAATGACTCATTTTTCACCTTTTTTTTTATTTCACTTAACCTTTCATGAATTTTCTAAAAGAGCTAGATTGGAATATTCATTCCATTTTTGATTAAACCTGTTAAATATGGTTATACCAAACATCAAGTAACACAGTTCCACTCCCTGGACTTAACATTTCTCTACAATGCTTTTATTTTTTGCTTCAAATGTAATACAACTTATTAAAAACAGCCTGTTTTGTTGTCTTCGTGAAAAGTTCATCGACTTTTTTCTTAAGTTTAGTGACAGTGTTCTGTCACCATTTTCTGTTACAGAGAACTGATGGCAGGAGTGGACAAACTTAAGCTGCTATCACAAGTTTTGGCTTCTATTGACAAAATCTCAGATTCTTCCCATGATGTCTCCCCTGAACAAGATCAGAATACATAATTCTTTGTTGTAGCATTATCTGTACAGTATTAGTGTATAATAAATATAAATAAATTATGTTAATATAGGATTGGTAGTTGTTTTGTTTTCTTTTGTCATTTCAGTGTATTGTTAAGACTTTTTCCTTTTCACGCCATTACATCAAAAAGGTCTTAAATTTCACGCCATTACATCAAAAGGGTCTTAAATTTCACGCCAATACATCAAAAAGGTCTTAAATTTCACGCCAATACATCAAAAAAGTCTTAAATTTCACACCAATACATCAAAAGGGTCTTAAATTTCACACCAATACACCAAAAGGGTCTTAAATTTCACACCAAGCACGCTTTTTTTAAGGAGATATGACACAATTTATTGTTGTGAGATATGTGAAGAGTAAAGATTACATTCATATTAGTATAAACTCCACTAAAGTAAAATAAATTGTTTTGTTTTAGTAATAAATAATTAACTCTTTCAGTGAGGGTCGAGTAACTTCCCTAGCGCTGGAGAGTGGGGTGTTATTCTCAGCAAATAACTTTGTATTTATTTCACTTTCTTTTTAATGTTAAACATTTTATGTCTTTCTTTTCAGCAGCCCCTAAAAGGGGAAGAGACGCTATTAGTTTTGTGTGGTGTGTCTGTCTGTCCATCCCATTTAAATCTCGTAAACTAGAAAAGATATTAAAAATCCGACATCATGATATTTTAGACCTTTCAATGTTCTGGTGCAACAGCTGCTTTTTTCTTTTTCAAAAGCGAAAAAATTTATTTTCAAAATCAACTTTGCGACCAGTTTTTTCATAAAAATACACCATTACAACTATTCACTATTAATAATAACAAACATGGAGGCTATTTAGTTGGGGAGATAACCATTAACCATATTTTAAACACATTTATGCAAAAGTTTTAGATTTTTTGTCCAATAAAAATTTTTTTTTTATACAAATGTATTGCTAAGTTCTGTCAGTTCTGTCCTACTAACTACTACATTTATGAAAAAAAAACCGGTTAATTTCCTCAAAGAAAAAAAATCTATTTCATATACATATAAGAGGAACATAATTTAAAACAACAATTAATGAGTAGGTTTTCATATTATTACGTGAATTGCAGCTCAACTGAACATACACAGGACACTAGAGATAACCCTAAACAAAACAATTAGATAATCATTATATGAAATCAGGTCAGGTTCACATCTAACTTAACCGTCACTTTCACCTATCCCTAGGTCTGCTGGATCATTGGGGCACCACACAAGATCTGTCAACCTTCTTTCTCCATTCTTCTCTGTCTTTTGCCTTTCATTCACTTCGGAGGTCAATTTTGAGTTTTCACACAAACTGTCTTTGTAACCTTGTTTTTTTTTCAATGTTCTGGATATGAGGGTGATTATTCTTTGTTCTGGTAGTAAATTGAATGCAGTAACATTTAAAAAAAAAAAAAGACAACATTGTGTTAATGGTTCCTCTTTTTTATTTATTTTTTGAGGGACCTGAAAAAATGTAAATAATAGGCCTACAATTCCTTAGTGAATTAGTTCATCTTTAATGAAATTAGACATGATTAAATGTGTTTAGTTTTGTGATTTTTCAAAATTTATGGAGCTCTCCAACTGTCTGCGGCCAGCTACTTTCCTCTATGTCAAAGAGGGTGAAACGGCGCCTGAGTTGAGCTTTATAGCGCTTATGAGGGGCCCCTCTGTTACACTGTCTCCTTTAAGCTCCTCAATGGCCTCCAGTAGAACATAGTTACAGTATTTTCACACATGTGACCAATGGGTTATACAAGTTTTTACAAATGAATGGCAGCACTGAGGACTATACAAAGGTGTGGGGTTTACAAAATGTATTTTACTCAGAACATAATGGAAACTATGTTTTTTTTTTATACAACATACTACAGATATGACCGTAGGCTCATATTTCACAAGCATGTTGCACTCTGTTGCTTGTTAGAACAACTGAAGCACAATTGTGTCTCAAGGGACAGTCATATGATAAGCAACAACTTTATGTACCAGTAGTTCCAGGCAAATAGGCCTACATGTGGGGTATACAAAGATGTGGGTTAATGATTTTTTTTCTTCTAATTTTGTAATTTATGCGGACTATACACATCTGTGGGATGTATGCAAGAAAATATGGTATTTGTACTGTTGTCTTGTCAGCATATGCCCATTATGGAGCAAATTTGAAATCAAAACCAAATATGTGTCACTATTGGTCTAGAATAAAAGTCTAGATTGTGATTTGTATTTTTCCTATGGTTCTGAATTAGCCATGAAAGACTGAATTCTTTACATAATTTCAAGGATAAATCAGCAATACAAAAAAAATCAACAATACATTGAATTTTTAGACACACCCAAGAACAGAGGTGGCAGTAAGAGTTGGCTAGTCGGTCAACTGCCTAGGCCTGTGCATAATGTAGTCAAAGGGCCATGTACACTAGTAATAAGGCCCACAGCATTAAAGGCGGACAAGCTCATTAGCATGATGTGCTATGGTGTATATAGTCTACATTTAAAGCTCCCAGACCTGAGTATAACACTCAACTAGGGCCCTGCATACTGCTAAATGCTGCCTCTGCCAAGAAACACATTTTTGTCATGGCGTTGAGAAATATGAAACTTGAAACACTTGTCATCATGCAAAAATTGCTAGATAAATTGTGAAGTAGGCCCTCTACTATAAATCTGTTAGTAGAAATTGTTACAGATATTTCCAGAACAAGTCAAGACATGAACATATTGCATTCCTCATACATGCAAACAGGACATTTCACTGCAACAGTTCAAATGCCTTCAGACTGCTACCAAACCTACAGTCAAGTTGGAGTCCCTCAAATCAACAGTATGAAACTTGGTTTTATCAGCACATTTAGAGCAGCCATCTATGCAAGAGAAATGTTTGTTTGTTTATAAAATGTTTTACGTTTCGGATGTTCCTTCAGAGTTGAAGATAATTACTTCCTAGTCCAAACCTCCCGCAGGACGATGGGGGATGGGAGCTGGCAGGGTTTGAACCCTGGACCATCGATAAATCTGAACGACAGTCCAGCACGCAAACTGCACGACCAGGCAGCCAAAATAGCTGGACACACAGTCATATGCTACAAAGTAAAAAGTTTTGTGCCCAATTGCCTTTCAAAAACAAAGTGCAGTTGTTTAGAGAGTATTGGAGTTTGAACACAACTATTGTGTATTGCATTAAGTGACAGTAGAAAGTAGGGACTCAAAGGTAAACCTGTTGCAGAATAGGAGTACACAATCAGAGAAGAGGTTTGGGCTTGGAACAAGAAGCATGGGAAATCAACTGCTAGGAAATATTGATGGAATTAGAGATATATGACAATCATCCCATTATGAAGTTGAAGTCTTCACAGGTCTTATCATGTATAGCATTTGTTCTCGTATTTATGATAATGCAATATTTGTCAAGTAATCAAAGTCAGTAATCTTGTGTGGTCAAGTCACAGGTCTTATCAAGTAGGCTATAGCATTTGTTCTCGTATTAATGATAATGCAATAATTGTCAAGTAATCAGTCAGTAATCTTAAGTAATCAAAGTCAATAACCTTGTGTGGTCAAGTCAATAGTATCAAACAGACAACAAACACATTGAAGTCTGGACAAAAGATTGAACAGATGATCTTTGTTTAATGTACAATTATTTTCATCATTACAATACAAAAATATCAATAAAAAGAAAGTAATATGTTGCATGGTATATATGTTATTCCTGAATAAATAGCTCATACACAAATCTGGTTTACACTTAAGTCACAATTTTCTTTGCAATCGTAATATCAGTACACTGAAAGACAATTATCTCTACTATCAGGATTTTAAATTTCATTTTTTTTTTATTTTCTGACAACTATGGCACAATAATCAATATTAACATTAAGTACAATATTAAAATGAATTAATATATATATATATGTTATTAATTTTATATGGTAATGCAAACAACTGGAAGTAAAAATGTATCACACCTTCTTCACATATCTGTCCAGCAGTGTTGACTAAATGAACATCTCACACTGCCATTCCAAAAACATGTCTACAGTAGCTCCCCCTAGGCCAAGTATTTTACACATTGAACATGAACATTTCAACATTTGATCTCACTCCAATGTTAGGCTTATGAGTACTGTTACAAACAAGAAATCAAAATAAATGCGAAACAAGTTTGGGCAATATGCATACATATATATAAAATCACATCATTGACTTCACACATTATTTTCTTGTTAATTTTTGTTGGATCAAATACTGAGTCTGAGAGCTGCATATAGTCAGACCAAATCCACAAGTTCAAGGCAACACCAAAGTGCTGATGTAATCAAGTTTGAATGTACACAAGTACACATGTAGAAATTTAAGTAAAGATGCCATAAGCTTTTAACAAAAAATGCACATAATACCAGTTTTTCTTAACCTGGGTAGGCATACATTTAAAAGTACTTGAAATAAAAAAATCTACATTCAGGGTACTAGACTAAAAACATGTTAAAATTCATGGTATTTTATGATTAAAATAAAAAAATTAAAAAAAAACTTTTTTGGTCAAGTTTTTGATCTATAGAATTTATTTACTTATTTATTTTTCATGAATCATTTTATTTTTTTTGCACAAATCTACAAAATGTTAAGAAACAATAACCAGAAGCCATTAGCATGGACTGCAGACATTGAGAACTAAGCACATAAAATGATGTCACTATCTTAGCAACACTGTGCAAACAATTCATCACAGAGTTCTAACCTGGAAGCAGTTGCACAAGTAAACAAGAACTAGTTTCGACCAATGTGAACCTTCACTATCAAATTGCTAACACATCTACTACTAAATAACTTAATAAGACTCTACCATTAGTACAGTTGTAGACAAAGGAATAATATTACAAAGGGTATTGCTCATTAATAAACCAAGGTGTTTAGCAATAACTGGTTACTAGGTAACAAATACAAGTCAATTTTTTTTTCAAATTCAATGCATTGTAAACATTAAAAAAGAGAGAGAGAGAGACATGGTACTTTCCCTCCCTACAAGGCAGTCAAAGTGGGTTCAATGGTTTCATAAATGAACTTTCAATCATAACATTTTCTTTTCAAAAGTTTCTAGGCTCAAGAAAAATTAGTATATATTATGTTGATAAATGTATTGCCTTCATCAGGAACAGGCTTCTCTGAGGCTTTTTTAAAAAGAAGTCCTGGAAGAAATAAAGGAAATGGACGGACTGATTCTGAGTTATTTAAATGAGTTACAGCATTTGTTAAGTTGTTAGTAAATACATTAAGGCCAAAACAATAAAAAAATGAAAATATAAAAAGAAAAATGTGTTGTTTTTTTAAATGCATAGAAATATTTTGTCATTGAATTGTTTTTTTTCACAGTGAAAACTATTTATTTATAATTAAAAATTATGACAATATCAACATATCCTCAAATAAAAAATAATTTTTAAGATGTTTAAAAAAAGGATTACATAATTTTAACATGTCTGATTAAAAGATTAAAAAAAAATCTAGTCTCATATCTACATTCTTGTATGTCAACTGTATTTCACTAAAACAAAAAAGAATGTATTCAACTGAAATAAAAAGGATTACATAAAACATAGGATAAGGAAGATATTCACCTGTCTGCTATTTGACAAATGCACATTTCAATAATTAGATTAAAAACTTAAAGGTAGTACACAATTCATTGAAGTAGATATGAATAAAATCATAACAAATTTGATACAAGACACAGTTGTACACAATTTCATTCATCTCAAGTAACAATGAAGCTTAATGTGATAAGTGTTTTTGTTTTTCTCTGAAAACCACATAACATGAACATTTGTTCAATCATTCACACATCTTTTGTTCTCTTACACACTTTGTTCAGTCAGGAATAACTTGGTTCACAATAGTTCACATTAATTTGAAATCCAATCACCCGCTGTTCTTGTTGTGTGGGTCTACACTTGTCCCTTGTATTGAATTCAGTCCTTATATAGACATTTGGTTGACAAATCTCTATATTTTGAGTACAATCAAAAACTGCATGAGCAATCCAAGCTCAGTTAAAATCTTTCCACAATCTGTGAAGAGCCTGGTTTTGTGTCATCATCATCATCACGCCTTGGGGAGGGCGGTACAGATGGATGAAACATCACCCTAGGTGATGAAGTGGATGGCAGTGATGGGGGAGGTGGGAACTGTGTGAACTGATCATCTGGGGGAGGCTGAGCGGCAGGCTCTGTGTAGACTGGAAAACTAGGGGGTGGATCTTCATCCAAGAGGTCAAATGAACCATGAAGATGGTAGCTTGATAAGGAACCAGTCTCAGCCTCACTGTCAGTATCTCGAAGAATGCGAGTAGACATCTGCGCACTAGTTAAGCCAGCAGAAAAAGGTGATTGGCCAGCACCTTTGGTGCTGTCTAAAGATGGCTGACCAAAGGCATGAAACCGTGGGCGACTATCTCTGAGATCCAAAAGCTGGTCCTGACTTTGGGACCTGCTTGTGGCTCCAATGGCTGTTCCCATTTCACTGCCAAATATAAGCTCTCTGTGCTTCTCTTGCCACCTCCTCTGTTTCAACCTTTCAATTTTACGTTTCTTCTCAGCCTCCTGAAATGTAACAAAACAAGAGTCAATTTTTGAGGTTTACTCACAAAAGGGAAAAAAAGAGCATTCCATGTACGATAGCTATAAATATGATATTAGTTATTACATTTAACTGATAAATGACACTTCCCATTTATAAATATTAACTAAAGCACTGCCTCAAGGAGAAACCATTGGAGAACAATAATGTCATGAAAGAATTCTCCCTGGAAAAACAAATTGAAACTAGAGTGATCCAAGTTTTTAAATAGCTGAATTACCTCTTCTTTCTGTTTCTTAGCTATGTTTGTGACTTGAAGAAGCAGGTCATCAATCTTTGATTCTGTTGAGTCAATGTCCACAAAAGAAAGACATAAAGCTCGATTCAAGGGTATGAATTCATAATTTTCTTTCTCCATCTGAAAATATAGCAACAAGAAATAATCTGAAAACATAATTTGGAAAAGAAAACAACATTTTGCAGTAGTAGTAACGACAATATTGCAGAGCAAGTAAAATTCACTTGATTGTTATTGTTTCCAAACAAAATCTATCTTTTACTTTATGTGAAAATTACAATAATTAGTTATTAAAAATACTTGAAATCCAAATAAGCTTATTATTATATAATGTAGAATCTATCTTGCCAAGTATAAAAGATAAGTAAAAAGAGCTGTCAGAAGCTAAGGTTGTAAAGAGAAGAGCTTCTTCAGAAATAATTAGTTCCAATGATTTGAATGGCTACTTTGCTTTCAATGTGTGTATGACAAGGCAGGCCATTGAGAAGAAAAGAGTACATGACAAACTAAGTGTTTTGACTGACATAAAGTGCGAGTCTTACCAGTTTCGCCACATGGAGTTCAAGTGCTGTATAGTCACTGGCTTTGATGTCATCTAGATGAATGATGAAGTACACGTAGGACCACATGTTATGTTCCAGGGCCACATGGTGGTCAAAGCCCTAGAGGAAAATAACATAAGGGTCAAGTGGCAAGACAGTTCAATAAAAAAAGCACATATATTACTATTGATAGAGCAAACTTATCTGTTTAATTCAGGCTTACACTTTACTTTACTTGAACTGCTTGTGGTTGCATACATATTATTTGTTGAATAGGATTTGTTGTTTTTTTTGCATTGTTTGAATACATTAAATTCAACAAAGAAGACAACCCAAATGATCATTCTTGTCAAATAGATGATGGTACAGTTTACACTGGTACAATTAAATTTAATTATATAAAAAAAAACATTGATTTTTTAAAATAATTTTTTGTAAGTTAAAATTTAGTCTAAGAACTTGACTTACTTTGCCATGATGCTCAAAGTCATAACTGTTTCTGCTGCAAATAAAACAAGTGTCCTTCATGTCAGACTCTGCACGCCACTGGAAGTAAAGAGAGAACAAGTCAGAATATAGCTCAATTCAGTGGATTGTTTCAATGTTCTATATTTGATTATTACAATATTTTTCTTGGTGAGAAATAACTTTAAAAGATAATAGTATATACACAACAACATTATTTCAATACATAGATATAATTTTAAACATGAAAATAGATTATGGAGTAACTATAGGCCTACTGTTTGTTTTCTTTGAGTAAGTTGTAGCTATCCTATTTATAAGAAGAATAAGGTCATGTGTTGAAAAGATTCACAATACCGGTATTAAATTTAGGTCTATAGAAATAGTTGATTTGTCCTGTATCTGAAAGTAAATCTCTAGCTAAATATTAAAGAAGGCAATGTGCTCTTTTGAAATCTAAAAGCATAAAGGACAGATAATATGAACATGTTTCTGTGGCTAAAAGTGAACTTCTTGCTATATCCCTACAATATTACTGATCTTTGGTTTTTCACTGTAATTAAATAGCTCAATCCATAAAAAGACAAGTTAGCTCCACAATTTTGACTATCAACCGTAGGCCTAGTACCCTGTTCCATCTCAATCAGAAAGAACTAATTTTGAATAGTTCTACACATGTAACTGAGTCAAAGACTAGATCTAACCTTCAAGTCTCTCAACTCAGAGAATGTGTCTACAATGATACCAAAAATGATGTTCAGACCAATGGTGGTGATGAAGATGAAGAAAGACACATGGTACAAGACCATCGGCCAGAAACTGGAGAATGAGCTCCCTGCAGGATTGTCTCTGATCTCCTGTTGAAATACAAAATATTTGTTTAGAACTGATCAACAAAATAGTAACTGAAATTTAAAACAAAAAGGAATCACCTAAATTTATTAAGAATGAATATCTATTCTATGATAATGAAAGATATAATAATGTATAAAATCATCCCATAAGTTAGTTGAAGTATTGTGAATGAAAATATTTAAAAATGAATGGCATAAAATATGTGAGTGCTTTGTACCTCAAACATATCTCCAATGAGACCAAAACGTATGACAGTCACAGTACACTGCCAGAGAGTACTGCAAAACAATGTCTTTTCATTATCAAAGTACACTCTCAGCAAGGCAAAGCCAATCAGTGCATAGATGTAGATGACAATCAATCCTAAGATGGCCACCCAAAGCAGAGACATTCCTATGGGAGACAAGAAAAAAATAATATGGTACAATATAAGTACGCTCTTGCGCATGCTCCATTGGCTTCCCGTGAAGGTAAGAATTGTCTACAAGGTGGCCACACTTTGTCATCAGTGTATATATATAAATGAAATGCCCCTATACTTTAGCGAACTGATCACTCTATATATCCATCAGAGAGCCCTGTGCTCAATGGACTCAACGCTTCTAGTGGTGCCACGTTTCTCCCTCAAAAGATACAGTCTGTGGGCTTTTTCAGTGCATGGACCAAAGGTTTGGAACTCACTCCCCATTGATCTCAGACAAAAAGCATGCTATTCAACTTTCAAGAAGAACATTAAGACCTATCTGTTTAAAACTTTTTTAGATTAGTTTGTCATGTTAGCTCTTGTGTTTGTAATGTTATAACAGCGCCTTGCCCTATATTTTGTTTGTTAATAGCGCTTTATAAATAAAACTATTATTATTATTATTATCATTGCTTCACAAAGAGAGAGCAGGATAACTGAGAAAAATCTCAGAAAAAAATTTTGATAAGTCAAAGAAAAGCTACCACTAAAAAAAAACAACAAAAAGGTGTGACCAAAAATGAAATTGAAGTCCCTGGAAATAACAGCCAAAACTGCACATGTCACAGCTGAATTTGTAAAGTTCTGCAATCTTCCTAAATCTTTGGACTTGACAAAAAATGTGACATATTTTATGAGGTA